CAACTCCGATGACAGCGTAATTTGATAGCCATTCAGAACAGCTGGCTTCGCCAGTCTGCCGGGGTCAATGCGCCCACAACATCGTCGTGGGCGTCCGCCAAAACGCGTCCGCAGGTCAGCACATACAAGTGCATGATCGGTGTCAACACCTGTGCTCCAAATCGAGCGACAGTTCTCGACACAGCCTCTCCAGCGGTAACTTACCGCAATGTGATCGATTTGCGTCCATAGCTGGTTCAAGGCTGCTGGGCGCCAAGTCACCCTCCGGCGGGTGCTGTGTCGGAAGTTAGTGCTCGCAAGAAATAAGCGATCATCCTCACACAAATGAAGTAACCGCTCACCGTTATCATTACAGGAGCCTATACCATGTTGGCCGCCCAGATGCAGCTCATCTGTGGATAATTTTCCAACTTGAGAGATCAGATCCCCGACCAGCACTACAGTGTCCGAGCTTCTTCTGTCGCGAAGGAGTTCATTCAGTTGGCGATAGAAGTCGTCTTTTACCGAGTCATCGATACAGTTTGTCGGTGCATAGGCAGCGATAATGAACAGACACCTGTTAGTCCCACGCGACTTCGAAGCTTTGAACGAGCCAGCCAATCGGATCGCACACATCCGGCTACTGATTGGAATCCAGTCAACCAGAGCAGCTTCAGCCCGGGGACTCAGGGCAATGCCAACACCAGCTTCGCCGGTGCTCGAAGCTGCATCGTCACCGGATAGGCGCAATGAGAAAGTGCTGCTGGTGTCACCTGAAGGGGATCGCAGAGTGAGTACAGAGCTCGGGTCTTGCAAGCGGGTCTCCGATAAGCAGCAGATATCGATGGAGAAGTTCTCTAATGTTCGAGCAAGTGCTGCCTGTTGACCGATCTGAAGCAATGTGCGAACATTGAGGCATGCCAGTCTGAAGAGGATCGAGGACTCCAAATGGAAGCCGATGAACTGGAATGGACCGTTTGCTTGGACATGGGCCTGTTGACAGTGCAGGAATGACGCTCCGCGTTCACCTGCGAGTTGAAACTAGAAGACAAGCGACTATTGAAGCAAGGTGGGGGGGCCGAGAATTGGGGGCTTGAAAACAAGGGGGATAAAAGTGAAGCTGGAACGGAACGATAAGGGTGAAAAAGCGAAAGAAGGGGAATAAGAAGATGGGAAGGCTTGAGCAATAGCATCCAAACCCCTATCCACCCTGCCCGATGCAGCAGATAGGGCACCGTTGATTATCATCTGCGGTGGCCAGAGCATCAGAAATTTGTTTGAGGAAAGATTCATTGTATTGCTTGAGCAGGATACTGTCAGGTTGCCCAGGCTTAGACAGGAGAACGATTAGGGTTCTCAACTAAAGCCTTTGGTTCAAAAACCTGGCCGCAAGGCAGCGGGTTTGGCATTGGGCTACAAGGAGTCCGTTTTAGGGAATAAGGAGCCACCCTCATTCCAACCCCCAACCTGGAGGACCAGCAGGCTGAGTTTGTCTGGCCTCTAACCATTGACCAATCTGGTATGAGTGGCTCTGAAGGTGCCAAAAATGCACCACCCAGTATAGCTCAATGGATCACTGAGGCACACAAACCATCGCACCACGGTAAGGTCCAGCCTCATTGCGATGGGGTCCAGCCTGCTGTTGCAAGAACAGCAGCAGTCTCACACTCAAAAGGGAGGAAGAGTTGAGAGTAGAGAGAAAAATAAGAAGAGGGAGCATTGCCGACGGAATCAAACCGGAAGATGATAATCCCCGGCTGCTCATTCCGAGGGTTTTTTTCGAGGTGCCCAACCTCTAACCTAAGACACTTTGGCGCACAAAGCAATGGAGTACATGGAGGCTGGTTTGAGGGACCTTATCCGAAGCTTTGGCTCAATAACTTGATCCACAAGGCACTGGGGAGGAAGCAAGGAAAGGAAGTGTGACTGCACAGACTCGTTGGGATTTGCTTGAAGCCTGTCATGGATAGTCTTTGAAGATTGAGAACAAGCCATATGTGTTTTACGACCGTAGTATGCTGAGGCTGATGTTGCATTCATGATGCTTCTTCACCGCAATTGGGCTAAACCAACATACCCTTAAACTAGGACTTTGTAAGTTGGATAAATTTCATTCCACTTTATTTAGTTCGTCCTGCCTACCTGAGTAATCTTCTACTAACTTGTACACGTTGCTTACGCTAATTGTGGCTATGTTCGTCAACTTCATTGCGTATGCAGCATTTTTTGCGGAACTTGTAGACAATTTATAGTTATCGCGGATGCATTGCTAATCAACTTACTTCATATACTAATTTAGCGAAATGCCGGCATAATCGTATGCTTTACCAGATGTATTTTATTTAATAATATCATTTCAAGTGATTGGGCTATGCTTTGACATCCCCGGTGTGGCTGCGCTTGATGTGTATGTTGACAAGGTGTCTACCTGTCTGTTACCCACTACCACGTCCATACTAGCACCATGAGAGAGTTGGTCGTTGCTGAAGGGGACGGGGTACACGGTCCTCGTGGCCGTGCTAGGCTCGAAGTGATTACATGTAATCAGAGTGGGGCGGACTACAATACAGCCACCGCCTTGTGTGTGCTTGGTTCCCAAATACAGCGTGATTGTGTTTGCCTGTGAAGGAGTGTGGGCTGACTTCGTTGATGAAACGTGGCTCCCATCCACATGCTTCCCGGATTTACACTGTATATGGGGTGTGTGGTTGGAGCTGTGAATGGTGCAGTCCAAGCCACCCACGGTCCCTCTGTAGGCGCAGATGTCCTGTGGCTGGCCACAGTGACAGGCAAATCCGAAACCGGATGCCACCAGCCAGGTTACGCATCTGTGACCACGGCCAACCGCAAGCGGCAGGTGGCTGGTTTGCACCAAGTTGACCAAGGGCTACTTGCCTTGAGACGGGCTGTAGCAAACCAGTAAACAACAAAAGGTGCCCTCCCACCGTCAGATATAATGCGCGGCACTCGAGCACTATGCCAATCGAGCTGTGAGCTTATAACCAGCAGACCCGTTGTTTCTCATAGCTGTTTTAAGGAAAAAAGGCTATTGAGTTCTCCCTAGCCTCCAAAGAGGATTGGATTGTGAGACTGGGTTAGTCTGACCACTAATCATTGACCTACCTAGTAGTGGTGACTCTGAAAGCAGTTGAAAAGTGTCACCCAGCGTAGTTCAAAGGGTCACGGTGGTACGCAAACCATCGCACCACGTTAAGGCCAGGTCTGGTAAAAAAGTAAACATCCGAAGTGGAATCCACTCTTTGATACGTTATAAAACTCCCGGTCCTGTCAGTCTACCCCTCGGCCGGAATGGGTTTGCTAACGAAACCATATCGCTGTTCACGGAAGTTTGGAAAGATAATAAGGCCCCAAAACCATGAGGGAATCGAGCATTGTCCCGATTCACAACCCGTGAGGATTGCGTTAATTACCGCAAAATTGCGATTATCCTTGTTGCCTTCAATATCTCGGTGTCCGTGTTACTTCGTAGGCTTTCAACGACTAGAAAGAGCTTTTCCCAAGAGGAACAAACTGGTTTTCGTCCAGGTACAGGTTGCATCGACCAAATCTTCACAATGAGAAAATCCTGAAATAAGTCACGTCCACCGACGGTCAACAATTATAATTTTCTTGGACAACAAGCAGCATTTGATTCAGTAGATAGACATGCGTTGTGAAACTGTTTACAATGAAAATGTCCGGCAAGGTTGAAACTATGCTGAAGGAACGTAACCGCCACCTGACGGGTAAAGTCAGGACTTACACCAGGCTTTCCTTGAAGTTTATTGTCAGCGGCAGTGTTCGCAAAGATTGCTCTATTTTCCTGTCGCAACGAGGCTGGATCTTAACGTGGTGCGACGGTTTGCGTATTTCCTTGACCCGTTGAGCTATACTGAGTGGTGCCTCCGGGCACCTTGAGCGCTACTCCTATCACGTTGGTCAATGAATAGAGGTCAGACAAACTCAGTCTCCTGGTCCTCCAGGTTGGGGGCTTGAAATGGGATGGCGTCCATTTCTGTAAAACTAAATCCTTACCACCCCGCTGTCTTGCAGACAGTCATTTGAACCAAAGGCTTTGGTCGAGGACTCTAATCGTCCTCCTGTCTACGTTTGGGCGCCCTGGCAGTATCACATCTCACACACAAGCATGACAATTCCTTCAAACATAAAGTTCATCCTGCATCGGCCGTCGCGCAGATTATCAAGGGCCGCCTTATCTGCTGTATACAGCAGAGCGGATAAGCGAGAATATGCTACTGCTGGCGCCACCTTTCCTTCTTTTCCACCTGTTTCACTCTCATCTCGACTCCTATTACTAACCTTCCTCCTATAATTCCCAGTTTAATTGATAGCAACCGAGGTGCCACTGCAGTAGAACCACCTGCAGTCACCTTCCCACAACACCCACCAGACGCCCATCAGCAACAGTTTCTTATAAGGCCAGGCTGTCCCGTTTCCCTGGCACCGTTCACAGTTAGCACTCTAAGACAAATCCGTCAAAAGGCTGCACTCGCACGAACCTTGGACACACTGGGTAGTGACGTGTGTTGTGTGCTCAAAACTAGGATCAATGACGCCAATGGCTGAGTCATCGTTGGTTGATTGGATTCCGGTGAACCACCGTTTATGTGCAGCCAGTCTGATGACATCAGTTAAGGTTGATTCAAGAAGCAGTAAAAACGCTGTTTGTTCGTGATTTCTGCTTATGCTCCCACCGACTGCAGTTCTAATGCTGTCAAGGACATATTCTATCACGAACTGAACGCGCTACTACGCAGTGCTACTAGTGCAAATATTATAGTACTTGTGGGGGATATGATACATATATATATATATATATATATATATATATATATATATATATATATATATAAACAATCTGTGGTACAGATATTGTGCCATCGGAATCATGGCTGAATAGGAAAACAATATGAATAATAAGAAAAGAGCAACAAGAAATGCTTTTTTTGTCAAGTTTACCACTCACAGTTTTTGAAATTTTTTTTCATTTTGTTCGTTTTTTAGGGGGAGGAGGAAGGGACACCGCAACACACTGATGCACACGTCCGCCATTGACATCGATCTTGAGCCATAACTTCCAAGGTTTTCAACCAGCAAGTATCCTCGTCTCTCGGACCCCAACCAGGTAGTCGACAACAACCGGCCGAGGCCAATTGTTTCGTCAACTTTTTCATGCGGCTTCTCCATGTTGTAGGCTGTCCACCAGGCCGTCTCTTCCAGCCCTGTCCAGCAAGTGCAAACAACGCACGACGGGGGTAACGCTGGACAGGCATGCGCAATACGTGTCCCAACCACCGCAGTTGATGCAGTGAGATGAGCTCCTCGAGCGAGTGGCTTCCACGTCCCAAGACACGCTGTCTAACTTCCACATTGCTTACGTGGTGCTGCCACCACACACGGGCAATGGACCGCAGACAGCGGTGCTCGAAGACGGATAGCCTGCGCAAGTCATCTTTACGAATCGGCCAGGTCTCGCATCCGTACAACAGTACAGCACGAACAGTTGCACAATAGACCCGCCCTTTGATGGAGTGACGAATGTCGTGGTGACGCCACAAATGCCTCAGCCTAGAAAAAGCGAGGCGTGCTTTCGAGATGCGCATCGAAATCTCGTCTCCAACAGCCCCGCCAGCAGTGATGCAACTTCCCAAGTAGACAAAGCTCTCCACAACCTCCAGTGTCTCACCAGCAAGCGTGAGTGCAGGCAGAGGCACCTGCCAGTCTTGAAGGAGAGCCTTGCATTTGGATGGCGAAAAGCACATACCATATTTTGATGCTTCAATCGTCAAGCGGTTTAATGCAAGTTGGACGACCTGTGGATCGTCACCCAGCAAGACGATATCATCAGCATAATCCAAATCAACAACTCGACTACCTGGGAGGAGCTCAACGCCAGCGTTCAACGAATCGCTCAGAGCGTTCTTCAGGACATCCTCAATGGCAAAGTTGAATAGGAACGGAGAGATAGGGCATCCTTGTCGAACTCCACTGGAGACCACAAAGGTAGGCGAAAGCATGCCATAAGCCCTAACCCTGCCCGAGGTCAGACTGTATAGAGCGCGCAGTATGGAGACGAACTTCTCGGGGACACCGTTCCTCAGAAGGCACTGCCACAGTAATGTACGATCGACAGAATCGAAGGCTGCACGGATATTCAGGAACACAGCAATCGTTGGCCTCTGATACACATGGCGGAGCTCGAGGATCTGGCGAAGTGTGAAGATTTGATCGATGCAGCCGCGACCAGGGCGAAACCCAGCTTGTTCTTCTCGCTGCAACGATTCGCGTGTTGGGGATAGCCTGCGAAGTATGATGGACACCAGCAGCTTGCAAACGACGGGGACTAAACTTATTCCTCTGTAGTTGGAGCAGATTGTGCACAGGCCCTTTTTGAAGATGGGTACGACTATCGATTCACCCCAAGATGATGGAACCTTCTCTTTCGACCAAGTTTTCGAGAACAAAACGGACCAGCGATGCGCCACCATCTTTAAATAGAGCTGGGTGAAGACCATCAGGGCCGGGAGCTTTATAACGCTTCAGGTGCCGGAGCTCCTGCTCGATTTCCTGGGAAGAGGGAGGGTCTGTTGGTATAGACCACTCGGCCCCAGCGCGAGCGCCAGAGGTAGCAGATGGAGCTGGGGGCCAACAAAACTGCGAGCCAAAATGTTCGGCCCATCGCTCCACCCGTCGTTGAAGATTGGTGATTAAGGTGCCATCCTCTTCGCATATTGTTTCACTTATACCAGATCGAACACCTTCGGTGACTCGAAGGAGATGGAAGAGTTTCCTGGTATTACCACAGAGACTAGCAAGCTCCATCTCCCTAGCACGTTCACACCACCAAGCTTCGTGGTCCATTTGCAGACTCCTGCGCAACTCTCGACCAAGGTATTGGCGTTCTTCAACGTGTCTCGAATCCGATGGGATCAAGCGGCGTCTGTCCATCAGCGACAAGGAGTCGGCGGAAATCCAATGTTTCGGTGGGTGACGGGGTAACTCACAAGTGTCGATACTGGCGGAAACTAACGCATCTTTGATATGCGCCCACTGCGAATCGAGATCACCGTCAATAGTTGAGCCAAGCAATGTTGACAGTGAGGCTTGGTACCTGGTTAAAACTGCAGCGTTTTGTAGATTTGCGACGTCCGGTCGGTAGTGGGCGCGCTTAGGTGATCCTCCGAAACGCATGCAAATCTTAGCACGAACCAATGCGTGATCAGAGTCCAGAAAAGTTGACCAGTACGATCGGCAGTCCATTACGCTTCCGCGCCATCTGTAGCTGATTGCTATGTGGTCAAGCTGGGAGCACTCTTGCGTTTGTGAGGGCGGGCGCCAGGTAGCAGTCTGTCTCCTCGAGTGTCGAAAACTAGTGCTCGAAAGAAACAAGCGATGATCAGAGCAAAGAGCAAGTAGTCTGTCTCCATTGTCTGATCGACTGCCACCGAGACCAAAACTACCCCCAATGTGGTGCTCGCTTGGTAGAAGGCGGCCAACCCGTGCGTTAAAGTCCCCGGCAAGAATGACTATATCCGTCCATTTGGAGGAACGCAGAAGTTCATGTAGTTGTTGGTAGAAGCTATCTTTAACTGCATCCGGGCTGCAGTCTGTAGGGGCGTAGGCGGAGACGACAAATAAGGCACGCTTAACATCTCGACGCCTGCTTACGTTACATGAACCTCTTAGTCTGACTGCACATAGTCGGCTGTTGACTGGGATCCAGTCAATCAGAGCTGATTCAGCCCTGGTACTTAATACAACCACAAAACCAGCTTGACCAGTGGCGGCAGATTCTGGGTCTCCGGAAAGCCGCAAGTAGTATTTGGCGTCAGAGTTTACCGGAGAGGCCATTCTGATGACGGCGCTAGAGTCTTGTAATCTGGTCTCTGAAAGACAACAGATGTCTACCGAGAGCGTTTCAAGAGTACGGGCCAGACATGCTTGTCGTCCGATCTGCATCAAAGTTCGAACATTAAACGCTGCGAGGATGAATAGAGAACCAGGTCGGAGAAGAGCTGGAGCTTCGGTGAAGTGAAAGGCGGTTGCGATCGCAGGACATTGAGAACCGGGAGTTTGGCTGTTACTTCCATCAGCTGCGAGACGTGGGTCGTTTGTGACGGTGACCGTAGAAGACATAAGAGTACATGTAGATGAAGGACGGGAGGTGGGGTGGTCTGTGAGTGGACGTTGAGCGGTTGAGTTAAGACAGAAGAGCGGCATAGCAGTAGTAGTAGTGAGCGGTGTAGTCCATGATTCGTCAGCGGGCGTGATACTACCCGGTTGCCCAGGCCGAAGTAGAGGGTTGTCTTAGGGGGCCCTACCCCGAGCCTTTGATCAAAGATCTAACCTACAAGGCAGCAGGGCGATGTGAGGGCGTCGCAACCCGTTGGGAGCCGGTGACCAAGTAGATGGTTCATACGCCTTTCGGTCCGTGAAGGACCAGGGGCCCTTAAAAAAAATGTGTCAGCTTATACGCCGTAACGGCGCTTCGCTGCCGCGCGACCACCACCAGTCGCGCGCGGGCTGAGTATACCGCGAGGACGCCCACCCCTACGCGGATTCGAACCGGTGACCTTATGGTTGGAAAGCAAACGTGCCAACCACTCGGCCACCGGCCAAGGGAGGGGCAAGGGGCAGTGACTTTATTTAGTGGCGAGTCACATCCGCCACGTCGCAGTGTTATTAAACGGACATATGTGGCTTTTTATAGGGAGAACGCTTGCCAGGCGAAAACCCACCACGTCCTGGAACACTGCCGCCGAACCATTCGCTGGAACGGGAAAAACCCAAACCACCCAGCTGGCACCACGAGGAGGTTGTTCGGCAGGCCAGCACACATAGGGCGCCGGAGCTCTTCAGAAGCTCAGCTGGGTGGTAAGTATGGACTTAACTCCGAAGGGACCGACAGCAGCGAGCGTCTGCTACAACTGTGTGCGGAGCACCAGTTGTTTCTCACTAGCACTACTTTTAGACACAGTGGGCGCCGAAGTGCCACTTGGAGCCCACCTGTAGCTGGCCAGCGATGGACCCAAATTGACCACATAGCCATAAGTTACAGGTGGCGCGGTTCCGTTCTAGATTGCCGCTCGTACTGGAGTACCTGTGTCGACTCTGACCATGCCTTAGTGCGCTGTCGTTTCTCCATGAACTTTATCGGAAGGCGCACGAACCGTCTCCTCTGAGTGGTAACTGAAAATTTGTCTCCGCCCTCAGTCAAGCAGGCCTATCAAGAAGCACTGCATACCGAACTGTCTTGTTCTAATGACACCGAGCTTCAGTGGAATAGGATCTAGGCCCCATGCACGACACACGAGCATCTGCTTGTGGCACCATCAGTCGTCACCGCACCAGTCACTGGATCTCCGAGAGGTCCGTGAACCTGCTGGAAGCTAGAAGACACCTCCCGGCTGGTTCTGAACACAATGTGACCAGATGGGCTATTAAGCGTGAACTAAAGCGGAGCCTACGTGCTGAAAAGGAAGCCTGGTGGACCAGTCGGGCTCAAGAAATGGAGGAGGCAGGAGCAGTAGGCAATTACCGGAAGCTCTTCCAGCTAATCCGCACCACTGGTCCCAGAAAACCAGGCGTCAGTGACACAATCAGAGACAGCGCGGGTGCGCTGATACACAGTAAGGAGCGCCGTATGGCTCGTTGGGCTGAACACTTTGAACATCAGTTCAGCTGGCCCCCTGCTCCCGGACCTCTTCCTACTCAGGTGATGCAGGACGTGCCATGGACGGTTAGTTTAGAGCCTCCGTCGGAGGCCGAGGTCCGAAACGCGATCACAGCCCTCAATCGTTTTCGTGCCACTGGCCCGGATTCCCTCCCACCTGCACTATTTAAGGATGGAGGTGAGGTCCTCTGCAGGGCACTGACCTCCTTATTCGAACGTATCTGGAACGAAGAGAGTGTGCCGGCTAATTGGAGCGAATCGATTATAGTGGCAATATACAAAAAGGGCAGTCGCACAGACTGTGCGAACCACAGGGGTATTAGCCTAACGACAGTTGGGACAAAATTACTGCACTCGATTATCGTTCGTCGCCTCACTGCAGAACGGGAATCTCGGATTAGGGAAGAGCAGGCAGGTTTTCGCCCAGGACGTGGCTGTATAGACCATATATTTACTTTGCGGCAGGTGCTAGAGCAGCGCCACGCATACCGCAGACCGACAATAGCTGTGTTCCTCGATTTCAAGAGTGCGTTCGATTCAGTCGATCGATCGATTCTGTTCGAATTACTTGCGCGAAAAGGTGTTCCCACGAAATATGTGAACATCCTTCGTGCTCTCTGTGTGA